AATATTTATCACACTGTAGGGGTATCGAGATATTAATGTTGTCTAGCACTCAGGATGGAAGGAAACTCTAATGTGGTTTTCTTGTATAATATATAAGTTATATGATAGACAGTCTGGTGCTGGAGATGCTGTGTGGTGAGGGGCTGCTTGGTAGAGACGTGCGGTGAGTAGCTTGTTGAAGGAGGTAGATGTGCAGGAGCTTCGTTAGAGAAGATGTTGCCTGTTGCTGGCCTCCTGGTTGAATGAAATGTTAACAGCGTGGAGCTTGCTGGAGGAGATGTTGCTTGTTCAGGAAAATGGGCAGAATGAGAATTGGTTGGTGAGGAAGCTCAGAGAAGGACATGCCCGCTGGCGGGAGCGAGGACCGCCAGGCAGGCGGAGGAGAGGCGAGGGTCGCCAGGCAGCGACAGAGGAGGAGGTGTTGCTTGTTCAAGAAGATTGGTCAGACTGAATCTCGATGATGATGATGATAATGATGATAATGAAGTAAAGTGGCAAATGACTTTGCACTGGGAAAGGAGAGGAGAGAGAGAGAAGTAAAGCGTGGAAACGGGAAGAAGAGTGGGAGGGGTAGATAGCAGGTGGGCTGTCCACCTAGCGGAGACGAGTTGAAATGATTGGGTGGCGGCAGCGTGCAGCACAGGCCCGTCCGCTCAGGGAAGGAGGTTGAGGAGGGTGGGGGGAGGAGTTAAGCTAGCTAGATATTCATTATTGTAGTGAGTGTTAATTTTTATTTGTCCGGTGGTAGTGTTATTTGTTTATCTCTTTGTGTAGAGGGGTTCTTGTTCTGTAATGTCAGCATGGAAGCTCTTAGGCCACCAGCTGTGTATTTTAGTTGTTCCTTCTTCTTTTAACTTAGAGAATAATGGATCCTCCATCTCTTCAAGTTTGGTCCATACTCTCTGTGCTTGGCTGTGTGTACGTATATTCAGTGGTTCGATATCGAATAATTCGTGAAGTTCTTGTATTTTGGTGGTGTATGGCGGAAGTTGCTTTGATGCTCTACGGATAGCTTTGTTTTGTACTGCTTGAAGTTTAAGTTGACTGGATTTGCTGATCGTGTTGAGTGGTATTGGTGGATATTCTAGGTGTGGGCGGATAAGTGCTTTGTATAGGTGTAGTTGAATTTTGGTGTCCATTTTGCTGAATCGTCTCAGTTTCGTGAGTTGTGATTGGGCAGTCTGTTTGCGTTGTTTTACGTGTTTTGCTATGCCTGTTCTTGTTATTGTGAGTCCCAGAAGTAGCCGGTGACTAGTTTCGTTGCTAAGATACGGTAACATCTGGGGACAGCTCTCGCTTGGTTGCTAGGGGAGGCGGCACATTGGAATGCGGATACGCTTGGTGGTGGGCTGCTACGCAGTTGTAGGGGAGAATTCCACTACAATACTCCCCCTCCCCTCCAGGCGGTGTAGGAGACATGTTGATTGTAGAGTTGCTTAGCACATGTGAGGAAGACCGGGCGGTGCATGCCTCATGTGAGACAACGGCGATGGCGTGATGAGCCGATCGCTGAAATACAACTGTCTAGATACACACTATCTGTGGGAGAAGGGAGAAAAAGGGTGTGTGGAGGCGATGGATGTTGTGCTTCCCTCACGACAGGTACAGGGTCGTCAGATGCGCCTGCTGGGGTGTGTGTGGGCCTGGATCAGGAGCAAGGGCTGGGTCAGCAGAAGCGGGTTAGGGCTCGTGACAGCAGCTGGGTCCACGACAGCAGCAGGGTGCAGGACATTAGCAGGGAGTACCTGAGGGAGAAAAGAGGGGGTGTGGAGGCGATGGATGTTGTGTGCTTCCCTCACGGCAGGTACTGCTGGGCCGGGGTCGGCGTCTGAGGCAGGACGGGTGTGCTGGGGTCGTCAGAATGTGGTGCGTGAGGCAGGAAGAGGAGCCGGTGTCTGCTTGAAGACTGGGAGCGTGATCAGTGTCTCCTCCATCCTGTGTGAGTGCTAATCTCCGGGAGTCACCATTGTAGAGGTATCGAGATATTAATGGTGTCTGCTTGAAGACTGGGAGCGTGATCAGTGTCTCCTCCATCCTGTGTGAGTGCTTATCTCCGGGAGTCACCATTGTAGGGGTATCGAGATATTAATGTTGTCTAGCACTCAGGATGGAAGGAAACTCTAATGTGGTTTCTTGTATAATATATAAGTTATATGATAGACAGTCTGGTGCTGGAGGTGCCGTGTGGTGGGGCTGCTCGGTAGAGACGTGCGGTGAGTAGCTTGTTGAAGGAGGTAGATGTGCAGGAGCTTCGTTAGAGAAGATGTTGCCTGTTGCTGGCCTCCTGGTTGAATGAATGCTGGACAGCTAGGAGCTTGCTGGAGGAGATGTTGCTTGTTCAGGAAAATGGGCAGAATGAGAGTTGGTTGGTGAGGAAGCTCAGAGAAGGACATGCTCGCTGGCGGGAGCGAGGACCGCCAGGCAGGCGGAGGAGAGGCGAGGGTCGCCAGGCAGCGGCAGAGGAGGAGGTGTTGCTTGTTCAAGAAGATTGGTCAGACTGAATCTCAATGGAGAGACAGAGCTTATATACCCAGCAGCAGCCGCTATGAGTCATGGTGGGAAAACCCGAGAAGTAGCCGGTGAATAGTTTCGTTGCTAAGATACGGTAACATCTGGTTGGTTGCTAGGGAAGGCGGCACATTGGAATGCGAAAGCAGGTGGTGAGCTGCTACGCAGTTGTAGGCAGTTGTAGGGGAGAAGTCCACTACAATACTCCCCCTCCCCTCCAGGCGGTGTAGGAGACTTGTTGATTGTAGAGTTGCTTAGCACATGTGAGGCAGACCGGGCGGTGCATGCCTCATGTGAGACAACGGCGATGGCGTGATGAGCCGATCGCTGAAATACAACTGTCTAGATACACACTATCTGTGGGAGAAGGGAGAAAAAGGGTGTGTGGAGGCGATGAATGTTGTGCTTCCCTCACGACAGGTACAGGGTAGTCAGATGCGCCTGCTGGGGTGTGTGTGGGCCTGGGTCAGGAGCAGGGGCTGGTCAGCAGAAGCGGATTAGGGCTCGTGACAGCAGCTGGGTCCACGACAGCAGCAGGGTGCAGGACATTAGCAGGGAGTACCTGATGGAGAAAAGAGGGTGTGTGGAGGCGATGAATGTTGTGCTTCCCTCACGACAGGTACAGGGTCGTCAGATGCGCCTGCTGGGGTGTGTGTGGGCCTGGGTCAGGAGCAGGGGCTGCGTCAGCAGAAGCGGATTAGGGCTCGTGACAGCAGCTGGGTCCACGACAGCAGCAGGGTGCAGGACATTAGCAGGGAGTACCTGAGGGAGAAAAGAGGGTGTGTGGAGGCGATGAATGTTGTGTGCTTCCCTCACGACAGGTACAGGGTCGTCAGATGCGCCTGCTGGGGTGTGTGTGGGCCTGGGTCAGGAGCAGGGGCTGCGTCAGCAGAAGCGGATTAGGGCTCGTGACAGCAGCTGGGTCCACGACAGCAGCAGGGTGCAGGACATTAGCAGGGAGTACCTGAGGGAGAAAAGAGGGTGTGTGGAGGCGATGATGTTGTGTGCTTCCCTCACGGCAGGTACTGCGTCAGGGGCTGCTGGGGTCGGCGTCTGAGGCAGGACGGGTGTGCTGGGGTCGTCAGAATGTGGTGCGTGGGGCAGGAAGAG